CCTCCTTAGAAGCAATTCTCCCATTTGGTCAGCTGGATCCCAGACACCCGATTTTCCACACCCTCTTCCCCGGGACTTCTGCAATCACAAGCAGAAGAGGGCAGATGGCATTTTAATATGGTAATTCCATTGGGGAAAAAAACCTGTGATTTAATATTATTAATTTGACAGGCAGAAATGTAGGGAACTGTACTCAATCAATTTAACCAACTTCTCTCCATTTAGTACCAATTACACTTCAAACAGGGAGGACTACAAAAAATACACAACGAGTAGATCTCAGAGCTTGCTGTAAAGCACTTCATTTCGAAGACATCTTCCTAAAACATTTAGAAGTTATTTTCCAAAAGATTTATATTTTATTAATTCAACAAAGGGTTCTTCTTTTCTTTTAGAAAACTCTTACATTTAAGGTAACAGTTTGCATATGATTATTACTTTTTTTTAAGAATCCTTAAGAGTTTACATGAGGATGCTAGTAGTTCAGTCCTGAATGAAGACAGAGAAAGAGAAAAGAACTCAAATTCAGCTACATTAGAGAACTAGAAAACACAGTTTCAGTGCACACACTGGGCAGAACATGCACATTAAAACTCACTATCCTGCTGTGAGCAGCCTTTGCATTCATTACATGTTATGCTAACACACGGGATTGATGTTAAATTCCACAAACAGTGTTTTTATAGTAGGGGAATGTGTAGGTTATTATTAATTCAAGTTCCGCTTTTCTGATTACCAACCACATGCCAGACACAAGTGATGCACTGGAAACACAAGCATAAGATACCAGCTCTGTCCTCAAGGAATGGGCAGCATGGCTATTTAAGTGCTGGCACCCGCCAGTCCTCTGAATGGGAGTGTGATTTTAGGGACAATGCTAGGGACTGGTGGAGAACACACGCACAGCATGGCCGGCCTGCCTGCCGCCTCCCAGACCTCCCCACACCCGCGGAGGCCCTTGGCCTCTTTTCTTTCCCACCCACACTCAGACCCTGGGTGACCTCATCTGATGTGACCTCCAGTATATCTCCAGCCCAGGTTTATTCTTTTAGCTCCAAACCTGTAGACCCAAAAGCCCACTGGGCACTGCTACAAGGATGTCTAACAGGCACGGCACATTCACACACATAAATCCAAACTCACGACAGAAAGCTTTCCACTAGGCAGGACCTCCCCAGGTCTTCTCCATCTTGGCTCAGGCCATACACTTTGGGGTCATCTTTAACTCCTCCCTTTCTACCCATCCCTCTCCCAACTTCCAATCTATAAACAAATTCTGTTGTCTCAACCTTCAAAACACGTGCAGAAGTCCGCCTCTTAGCCACCCGGAGCTAAGCCACTGGCATCTCCTTTCTGGCTTGTTCAAGAGTCTCTTAGCAGGCCTCCCTGCCTCTGCCCAGGCCCCTCTTGCAGTACATTCTCAAAAGAGATGCCAGAGCAGGCCCGTTAACAACAGCCTACCATGTTACTCCTCCCCTAGAACAAAATGTTCCAAAGAGTTGCCATCCTATTCAGAATAAACACTGAAGTAATCACTATGACCTAACAAGGCACCGCTACTGAGCCCAAGTCACCTCTCTACCCTCAGCTCCTGCTTCTCTCATCGCCACCCGCTGCACCCGAGCCACGCCAGGCTCTTGCTACTTGCCCTTCTACACTGCTCTTCAGTCTTGGTCAGAACTTCACCCTCAGAGTGAGAGCTTTCCTGGCCATCCTGACTACAATTTCAGTCCTCCTCATCCTTGGTCCGAATCACTGTCCCCCAGCAGCCACATACTTTGCTGCTAATGCTGCTCTCATGTCTAGAGTCGGCTGCCTCCAGGCAACCGTTTCCATCTACGGTGTTTACTTCTCTGGTCGTAGAGTCTACGACGATGCCTAACACATACTTGGCAGTCAGTAATAAACAGTGTATTGAATGAATGACTATCAGGACAAACAGAAATTCTATTACACATGGTCCAGGAAGGCAGAATCTTCAAGGACTCCACAGAACAGAGGAGGGTGGATCTTTTTTTTTTTTGAAACACAGTCTTACTCTGTCGCCAAGCTTGAGTGCAACGGCGCAATCTTGGCTCACTGCAACCCTGCCTCCTGGGTTCAAGTGATTCTCCTGTCTCAGCCTCCTAAGTAGCTGGGACTACAGGTGCCCACCACCATACCTGGCTCATTTTTGTATTTTTAGCAGAGACAGGGTTTCACCATGTTGGCTAGGATGGTCTCAATCTCCTGACCTTGTGATCCACCCACCTCGGCCTCCCAAAGTGCTAGGATTACAGGCGTGAGCCACTGCGCCTGGCCAGGGTAGATCATTAATCATCCCTGAAAGGAAATACAGCATCAAGTTAGAAGGAAAATTCCCCATATCCTACAAACATATAAGTTTTTATCAGCATGAACAGAGACCTTTAAATGCAAACACCTTTTCTACTTCGATCCCATGAGCAGCAGCATTCAGTGTCCTATTAAAGTATCATCATGTCAATTTGGTTGTCAAGTAAAAATAAAAAATAAAAATAAAGTAACATCATGTAAGAACATAACCGTTCTCCTAACTTGATGATTTTCACATTTTAAGTCATATGACTGACACTAAACTGTGTATTTGACCTTAACCAAGTCTCTCATATAATACTCCGGCCTCGAGGTATCCAAATGATGGAGGCATGAAGCAGACAAACACTAGGCAGACAGGGGCAGATCACCAGTGACACCCAACCTTCATGCCACAGTTTAAAGCTAAAGCCTGAAAGCCAATCTACGAGTCTCAGATAAATCCAAGGACTGGACTGAGAATCTCTCTTCCTTGTTTCCTCCCTTTCCCTCCCTTTTTCTCCTGCCCTTCCCTTTAAAAAATAATTAAAAAAAAAGAGAGAGAGAATCTCTCTTCCTGTTTGGTTGCACTTTCCTCTGATTAATTCCCGCCCTTCATTTATTTTACATATACCTACCCTTCTTTAATTGGCTTATTACACTGTTGTCACCACCTTTGAGTGGTGACTTTATTTTAGCCTTTTTTGCATACCCACAAACCAATCAGCACACACTCCTCATTCTGAGCCCATAAAAGCCCTGGACTCAGCCACCAAGAGAGACCACTCAACTTTGGGTAGAAGTCCCCTCTCTGCTGTGAGCTGTTTCATCACTCAATAAAACTATTCTCCACCCTGTTTACCCTTCAATTGCCAGCATAATCTCATTCTTCTTGGATGTGGGACAAGAACTAGGGACCCAATAAATGCAGGTACAAAGAAGGCTGTAACACTGTGGCCCTCAGCCCTCTGCTGGCAAATGGCAGCTGCCCCACATGAGAGGAAGCAGCAATGGGAAGCAGGGCAGAGCCAGCCCCAGAACTACAGGCTGGGACAGGACAATGGGTGTGACACAGCTACTGACACACTGTAACACCCCCTCTTCTTGGGCTTCAGGGTTGCAAGCACCCCTACTTGGGTGCCACTGCCTTCCCCTTGTCTGGACACCAGAATCTAGTGTCCCCTCATCTGGACGCTGGAGTCCACTGGGAGAGTTGCTTGCCACATGTCCAGCTGTAAGCTCTGCAGAGCCCACACTCCGTTGCTTGGAATGGAACAGCCGGAGGGACCCTGCACTCACTCACTCTCACACCCACTCAGGCCAGGGGCTGAGCATGCAGTCATGGTGGTGATGGCATCCATGCCAGAGTGCAAACCAGGTGCCACCGGGCAGGTCAAGTAGACAGGGCATCTCCCGCGGCAAGCCTGGACCCAAGCAAGGCCTGGGCAGGGTGTCACCAGCCAGAGGTCTCTAGTTGGGAAAGTGGCTGAGAAAAATCCTGCATCACAAATAATAACAGTAAAAATAGTAAACAAATAGTACGCTGCTGTAAATAGCACAACTGTGTCTGATGGTTATTTTAAAAACAAACTTCACAAGATCTACACCTGGTCAACATGCTCCTTAGGGAGTCAGGGCTCCAGCTTCCTCCAGCCACCTAACACATTTACGCCGTGAGCTGCTACAAACCATTTACATATATTGGCCATACACATTACAGTTTTCCAACTCAGATCTTAGTAAATTTATGTTGTAGCTGCCAGGAAAAATAAAAACAATGCCATTCAGAATGACAGAATTAAACCAGATGAAAATCTTTCTTTACAGAGGGGCGATACTTGATAAAAGGCAAATCAGTTCCCACAAAGAATGAAAGGACTAAAACTAGACGGCTACTGGGGAAGCCATGGGTTTGGTATTGACTTAAAATATCTTGCCAAGCACGACAGGATTGGCAAAAACACCAATACTCCCTACACACACACACACACACACACACACACACACACACACATCTGTCTCTCTCTCTCTCTCTCTCTGTCTCTCTCTCTTAGGATCCCAAGAAACTAAGACCGATGAGACAAATTTGCTTCTCTTTCTCGTCACGGAAGAGAAGCTTGGAGGATCTACTGGTTAATAAATGGAAGACAAAATCAAAAAAGATGCGTATACTGTGATGTACACGGCATGTATCTCGCCTCCAACCAACCAGTAACTTCATAAAGTTAGAGAGTTTCCATCCCTTCACGCTCAGCTGCGGGAAGGCTACGCTTTCACCCGCCGCTCGCGTCCAGCCCGGACCGCGGCCGCCCCGTCCGCCACCGCGCTTCTGCCCGCCCGGCAGGCCCCGCCGCCCGCCACGGCCGACCTGGCGCAACGGCCTGTGCAGCTACAACCTCCGGAGTGTTCCGGACGGAAGCGAAAAGCAGCAAAAGCTCCAGCGCGACCGACGGCCGGATCCGCGGCGCCGTCCCACTCCATGCCCAAAGCCCACCGCCCACCGCCCACCGCCCACCGCCCACCAACACCGCCCCACGCTCCCGCAGCGCCCGCACCCGTCGTTCTGGCCCAGCCTGACCCGCCCTGGCGTGCCCCGGGGCGAGTCGCGGCGGCTCCGCTCCAGGAGGGGAGGCCGAGGACCAGACGAATATCTCCCGCGGAAAGGCCGGCCCCCGGCAACTCCTCACCTGCGTCCATCTTTCCTGTCCGGCCGCCGACTGACCCGAGCGGCGTCGCTCCGACGGGCCCGCAGCGCGACGCGGCGACGGGACGCCGCGGGGGCCAATCGGGGCGCGGGCGCAGGCGGCGAAGACGATACAGCACGCGAGCGGAAATACGCGGGAGCCGCCATTTTGGCGTACGGCCGGGCGGACGCGAGCCCCGGGGTGCCCCGCGGGTGGCGTGGGGACGTATCGCGGGACGATGGCTCGCTCTGCTCTCCGACGGGACACTGTGTGCCATGGGTGGCGTTTCCTCCTCTTAGAGGACCCGGGAGCAGTTGTCGAGGCGGTGGAGGCGGGCTGGTTCCCAGTCCGAGCAGCCATCTTGCAGTACGGACGTGCCCGGCACGCCCGTGTCGCCCTACGGAGTTGCCCAGCCGGGGCAACTCCCCCGCCCGCCTGCCCGCCTGCCGGCTCACGCTGCGAGGGTCCGGTTGTGCCCCACTGGTCCCGAAGACGCCCGAGAGCGCGGCGGGAGAGGGCGCGGGCGGGGGCGGGACCGCGACGGGCGCCTGCGCCGCCATCTTGCCGTACGGCGCGGACGCCGCGGGCCGGCCCACGTCCCGAGCCGTGTCGCCGCCGCGCTCCCTCCCTCGGGGCGGTCCGCGGGCGGGCGGCGAGGGCCGGGGCCTGGCGGCGCGGCTGGGCCGAGGCCCGAGATGGTGATCTGCTGTGCGGCCGTGAACTGCTCCAACCGGCAGGGCAAGGGCGAGAAGCGCGCCGTCTCCTTCCACAGGTACGCGGGCCCCGGGCCGCCACGCCCCCGCCCCGGCCCCACGGGGAAACTGAGGCCGCGCGGCCGGCCCGAGCGCAGGAGCCGGGGGGCGCGGGGCCTCGGCGGCCGGGGCGCTGGGAGGCGGGCGCGGGCGCTGTGTGACCTTGGCCGGGCCGCGTCTCTGGGCCGGGTTCGGGCAGCGCGGCCGCCCCCACCCCAGCCGCCCTGGTCCGCCCTACGCGCGATGAATCCGGCCGGCGCCGGGACTTCAGAAGCCGCACGTTCTAGAAGCTGGTCCGGGGCTGATTGTCCTGCTCGGCCGCGACTGCTGCTTCTCCGGACCGCGGGCGGCCGGCCTGGATGTCTGCGAGCAGGAGCGGCCGGGCAGATGCGACCCGCGCCTCCCCAGCTGACAGCCCCTGGGGGGGCTTTCCGGGACGCGGGTCCGCTCTGAGAGCCTGCGGGGCGGCCGGCTGGGGACCGCATCCTTCCGCGCTCCGGGAGAGCCTGGCCTGCGGCTCTCGGCCACTTCCCACGTGGGCCCCCGTGGCAGGGCCCAAACCCCCTTAAGGCCTTGTGGGTTCAGCCTATTTCGGGGAGATTTATGCGGATTACACGCAAGAGGCACCAGAACAGGGAACATACTTTAAAAACCACTTTGCAGATGTTGCTTTTTATGTTGCATGGTGTTATTTAAGTTTTAAAGATGGGAATGGCACGTGTTATTTATAGCGTTATCGAAAGTTCACGGTGTTTCGCTGTGCATCTGCAATCATTACAATGTATCAGAAGAATTAGTAACATTAGATTATTTCACAAGCAGCCAGCACACTTTCTTGACAATTTCTTTCAGAGCTTGTGTCCTAGAAGTTTTGTTACTATTCTAGAAAAGGAGGCGACGTGTTGCAACGGTCTAATATGCTATAGGGGAAAGGGCACTGAAATTGGGGGTGAGGGGCCTATCTTTGGAGTTGGCCTCACAAAGCATTCAGAAAGGTTAGAAGGTCCTGTTGCTTAGTATGCCCCAGTTCATCCTGTTGGGATTTGTCTTGGTCCACACTGGCCTCAGGTGGAGCAAACAGCAGTTACAGCTGACCACTCCACCCCTCATGTGCACGTTCCGGCAGGGTTTTTTTTTGTTGTTGTTCTTTTTGTTTTTTGTTTTTTTTTTTTCTTTATTTTTTTGAGATGGAGTCTCTATCACCTAGGCTGGAGTGCAGTGGTGCGATCTTGGCTCACCACAACCTCCACCTTTTAGGTTCAAGCGATTCCCCTGCTTCAGCCTCTCAAGTAGCTGGGATTACAGGCACGTGCCACCACGGTCTAATTTTTTGTATTTTTAATAGAGACAGGGTTTCCCCATATTGGCCAGATTGGTCTTGAACTTCTGTCCTCAAGTGATCCGCCCACCTCGGCCTCCCAGTAGTGCTGGGATTACCGGCGTGAGCCACTGTGCCCGGCCAGGTCTGTTTTCTTAAACACAGAACTTGCCTTAATGAAGAAATAGTTGTGAAGGATCTTTATTAGGTAGTAAAGAAGAAATGACTAAGTATCCTATTCAGTATCTTCCAGCGCTGCTTGTTTTTCTCCCCAAATTTTAAATTATGGTATAATATACATAACATGAAATTTACCATCCTATCTCTTTTTGGAGACAGAGTCCTACTCTGTCACCCAGGCTGGAGTGCATTGGTGTGATCATCAACCTCCTGGACCCAAGTGAAATTCCCACCTCAGCCTCCAGAGTAGCTGGGATCACAGGCATGAGCGGTGGCTCCCAGCCTTTCCTAATCCTTTCTCAGGGCACAGTCCATGGCGATAAATACGTTCATGTTGTTGTGCAGCGATCATCACCATTAAGCTCCAGAATTATTTTTATGTTGTAGAGTCAAATCTCTGCACCCTTTAAACACGGACTCCCCAGTCCTCCTCTCCCTGTGCGCTGGCAACCCCCATTTCCTGTCTCTATGAATTTGATTACTCTAAGTACTTCATATGAGCGGTACCATGCAGTGATTGACCTTTCGCAATCGGCTTTTTTTTTTTTTTTTTTTGAGACAGAGTCACTGTCACTCAGGCTGGAGAGCAGTGGTGTGATCTCAGCTGGCTTCAAACTCTGACTCCTGGGCTCAAGTGATTCTCCTGCCTCAGCATCCCAAGTAGCTAGGAGTAGCATGCCACCTTGCCTGGCTAATTTTTGTATTTTTAGTAGAGACAGGGCTTCACCATGTTGGCCAGGCTGGTCTCGAACTCCTGACCTCAGGTGATCCACCCACTTCAGCCTCCCAAAGTGAGGTGATTACAGACTTGAGCCCCCACACCCAGCCACAACTGGCTTATTTCATTCAGTATAATGTCCTCAAGGTTCATCTGGGTTGGTTGAGTTTTTTGAAGGGAGAGGACGGGGTCTCTCTCTGTTGCCCAGCCTGGGGAGCAGTGGTGAAATTCTAGGTCACTGTAACTTCGAATTCCTGGGCTCAAAGAATTCTCAAGCCTCAGTCTCCCCAGTAGCTGAAACTGCAGGTGAGCACCACTGTGCCCTGCCCTGAGCTCGCCAACTTTTATAAGGAGCATTTTTACTCCTGGAGGTGGAGATGCAGCAGGACCACAGAACTGCAGCTCTGGAGTCTGGAGGGCTCCACGTTCTCAGCTGCTTGCGCACAGCCAGGGCTGCCTCTGCTCTCCTGACCTCTCATGCCCCCATCTCTGTGGAAGCTGGCCCTGGTTTTAGCACCCAGAGTCTTACCTTCCAGGCAGGTCAGCTTTTAGGAGCTATTTCTTGCTGTCCCGAGGCCGTCCTAGCCCTGTCTCTGAGCATCCTGGGCAGCCTGGGGAGGAGTTAGTTACCTTCATTCCCGTCTGCTCTCCAGACTGGAAGCTCCTTAAGGCTAGACAATGGGTCTTTCTGATTTCTACTCCAGTAATAATTTGCAGGTAGAAGATGTTCCTTAAATCTTTTTGAAGTAGTTTTTTCTTTTTTTAAAAGTTTAACATTTTTTTTCTTTTCATGAGGTCCAATCAGCATTGATGTATTTTTTAAATGGATGAAGTCATTACAGCTTTGGGTGTCTGTGAAAACACTTGTTTTGCTTTTACAGTTGGTCATTTTAAAGGGAGACATTTAATTATTTCTAATTACTTTGTCATTTGTCCTGTAGGTTCCCCCTAAAGGACTCAAAACGTCTAATCCAATGGTTAAAAGCTGTTCAGAGGGATAACTGGACTCCCACTAAGTATTCATTTCTCTGTAGTGAGCATTTCACCAAAGACAGCTTCTCCAAGAGGCTGGAGGACCAGCACCGCCTGCTGAAGCCCACGGCTGTGCCATCCATCTTCCACCTGACCGAGAAGAAGAGGGGGGCTGGAGGCCATGGCCGCACCCGGAGAAAAGATGCCAACAAGGCCACAGGGGGCGTGAGGGGACACTCGAGCGCTGTCACTGGCAGAGGAGCTGCGGGTTGGTCACCATCCTCAAGTGGAAACCCGATGGCCAAGCCAGAGTCCCGTAGGTTGAAGCGAGCTGCTCTGCAGGGTGAAGCCGCACCCAGGGTGGCCCGGGAGGCTGCCAGCCAGGAGCAGGCCCAGCAAGCCCTGGAACGAACTCCAGGAGACGGACGGGCCACCATGGTGGCAGGCAGCCAGGGAAAAGCAGAAGTGTCTGCCACAGATGCTGGCAAGGAGAGCCCCACCTCCTCCATCGAAGGGGGTGTGGCAGATAAGAGTGGCATTTCCATGGAGGACTTTACGCCCCCAGGATCTGGGGCATGCAAATTTATCGGCTCCCTTCATTCATACAGTTTCTCCTCCAAGCACGCCCGAGAAAGGCCATCTGTCCCCCGAGAGCCCATTGACCGCAAGAGACCGAAGAGAGATGTGGAGCCGAGCTGCAGTGGCAGCAGCTTGGGGCCCGACAAGGGCCTGGCCCAGAGTCCCCCCAGCTCGTCACTCACCGTGACACCGCAGAAGCCTTCCCAGAGCCCCTCCGCCCCTCCTGCCGACGTCACCCCGAAGCCAGCCACGGAAGCCGTGCAGAGCGAGCATAGTGATGCCAGCCCCATGTCCATCAATGAGGTCATCCTGTCAGCATCGGGGGCCTGCAAGCTCATCGACTCACTGCACTCCTATTGCTTCTCCTCCCGGCAGAACAAGAGCCAGGTGTGCTGCCTGCGGGAGCAGGTGGAGAAGAAGAACGGTGAGCTGAAGAGCCTGCGGCAGAGGGTCAGCCGCTCCGACAGCCAAGTGCGGAAGCTCCAGGAGAAGCTGGACGAGCTGAGGAGAGTGAGCGTCCCCTACCCAAGTGGCCTGCTGTCGCCCAGCCGCGGTCAGTACCAGAGCCTCTCGTTCTATGCTCCCTTGCCGCTAGAAGGGGTTTCTCTGTGAGGTGGCCCACGTCCCCTGAGCATTTCTGGGGGGTCTCGAGCTCCTTGTACTCTCAGGAGGAAGTGCTGGTCGTAGCCATACGTGTGGACAAGGGAACCCGGGTTAGAAAGCAGGTTGCACTGCACTGGGTCCCACAAGAGGCATCTGTGTGTGTACGGATGTAGCCCGTAAAGGGGGCAGG